AACCGACAAATCCATCAACCAACTAGAAAGACGCGCATTAACTAAACCAACTTATCTAAAACCTCGGCAACAAACCGACATCAAACTACTCAACCGATCAACTAACTGGACAGTCAAACAAGCATATCAAGGAAAACAAACACCGATTAATGAATTAATCAACCAGCCAACCATCGTTGTTCTGAAATGAAGTGAAGTTTCCTGGCATTATGAAGATCTGTATTTACCTGTAATACTATTACCCAGACTTATAGGACACAGTACGCCATGTGCAAGGGCCAACATTATCACCATTGGGACGCAACACATTATCGGCGACTATTTATTATTATTTTCACTTTTCGCTCTTTTTCAGCACCCGGGACATTGGGGCTAATCCGACTTACCACTATCATAGAATTAAGCTTACTCGCTACATTGTTTGCAAACTCGTCAATTCTCACCTTTTATGAGGCAGCTCAAATTTTACTACACGCTGTAAAAAGTTATAAATGGTGTGGTATAAATGAAATAAGTTATGCAAACACTGGTGTGGTAGTAGATCTATCCCTCCGTGGGTGTGCTCGGTGTGTGAGTTAATAGTGAAACATTAGAGGGTCTACTCCTAATGTGTACTCGGTGTGTGAGATGATAGTGAGTTCACAGTGGTATAACATAGCGTCTACTTCCACCGTCAAGTGGCTGTACTTATTGTGCAAGTTTGTAGCAGAGGGACAATTTCCTTTTAGGATATACTCTTTGGGGCAAAGTTTGTAGCAGAGGGACAATGTCCTTTTAGGATATACTCTTTGGGGCAAAGTTTGTAGCAGAGGGACAATTTCCTTTTAGGATATACTCTTTGTGTGGGATAACAGTCGTATAGTTGATGAGGTTCTACACTTATTGTGGGTTTACTCTGTGTGTGAGCTCATAGTGTATATAGCGTCTACTTCCACCATTAGGTGGGTGTACTCATTGTGCGAGTTTGTAGTGCTATAGTAGTAACTCTACTGTGGATATACTCGGTGTGTGAGTTTGTAGTGCTATAGTAGTAGTAACTCCGCTGTGGATATTACTCGGTGTGTGAGTTCGTAGTGCTATAGTATTAGTAACTCCATCGTGGATATACTCGGTGTGTGAGTTCTTAGTGCTATAATAGTAGTAACTCCGCTGTGGATATACTCGGTGTGTGAGTTTGTAGTGCTATAGTAGTAGTAACTCCGCTGTGGATATACTCGGTGTGTGAGTTTGTAGTGCTATAGTAGTAGTAAATTCATCGTGGATATACTCGGTGTGTGAGTTTGTAGTGCTATAGTGATGTATAACTCCACTGTGAATATACTCGGTGTGTGAGTTCGTAGTGCTATAGTGATGTATAACTCCATCGTGGATATACTCGGTGTGCGAGTTTGTAGTGCTATAATAGTAGTAACTCCGGTGTGGATATACTCGGCGTGTGAGTTTGTAGTGCTATAGTAGTAGTAACTCCGCTGTGGATATACTCGGTGTGTGAGTTTGTAGTGCTATAGTAGTAGTAAATTCATCGTGGATATACTCGGTGTGTGAGTTTGTAGTGCTATAGTGATGTATAACTCCACTGTGAATATACTCGGTGTGTGAGTTCGTAGTGCTATAGTGATGTATAACTCCATCGTGGATATACTCGGTGTGTGAGTTTGTAGTGCTATATTGATGTATAACTCCATCGTGGATATACTCGGTGTGTGAGTTTGTAGTGCTATAGTGATGTATAACTCCACTGTGGATATACTCGGTGTGTGAGTTTGTAGTGCTATAGTGATGTATAACTCCACTGTGGATATACTCGGTGTGTGAGTTTGTAGTGCTATAGTGATGTATAACTCCACTGTGGATATACTCGGTGTGTGAGATTGCATTCGTATAGTAAAAGATCTGCTCTACCGTGGGTGTACTCAGTGCGAGTTTGTAGTGAGTTCACAGTGTATAGGGGGAACTCAGGTTCCACTCTCACTTTGTATGTACTCGGTGTGTAATTTTGTAGTTGTTTAGTAGAAGATCCACTCCTTCCGTGGTTGTATTCGGTATGTAATAAACGTGGCATCGTAGAGGTTCTTCACCCACTATGGGTGTACTCGGTTAGAGAACTAACAGTGGTATAGTAGTGGATTGAGACCCTGTGGGTGTGTACTCGGTATGTGAGTTTGCAATGGCATATTAGAGAGCCAAGTCTCACGTGTGTGCACTCGGAGAGTGAGTTCACAGAGATATAGTTGAGGGCTCCCTATTTTCCGTAGGCGTACTCGGTGAGTGAGTTTGCAGGGGTATAATAGTTGAGGGCCACCTGTTTTTCGTGGGTGTACTCGGTGAGTGAGTTCGCAGAGATATAGTTGAGGGCTACCTATTTTCTGTAGGTGTACTCGGTGAGTGAGCTCGCAGAGGTATAATAGTTGAGGGCCACCTATTTTTCGTGGGTGTATTCGGTCAGTGAGTTCGACGAGATATAGTTGAGGGACACCTATTTGTCATGGGTGTACTCGGTGAGTGAGTTCGCAGTCGTATACTAGAGGGTCAACTTTCTCTGTGGGTGTACTCATTGTGTGTGAATTCGCCCAGACAGTACTTGTCTTTTTCTTAAAGTTGTTTGAATAAAATACACGGATCACTTTGCTTAGACAGAGCATTAGCGAGATAAGTGCAGTAACCGTAACTTGGTTCTTAGGCTCTTATCTTCTGAGTGTATTCAAAGCAAAGTGGGGGACACGGTCAGGAAGGCTTGACTGAACGATCTGACAGGGCGACTACACTCGTCAATGATTGGTCAGCATGATTTGTCAATAGGTACGTATGCTCCGGGTCCCGCCAAAACTGTTTGTTTTCCGTGGTCAAGTTTTTCAATGAAAGATTGCTTTGATTTGTTTAGAAACATTTACTCTCTTACATGGAAGACGTCATTGATAAAATAATGATGGTAAATTTGCGTATTCGTGTTGAGTAGCTAATATGAAGGTGTCACTAAACTGTCGTCTGCTCGCTGACAACAAAAACTTCAAAGATACTGTCACTTCGATAGTACGCAGTATCTGAATAGCAAGAACTAGACAAAACTAACATAGCCGGAATGTCGACACATAGGTGAGGGTGTGGCTATCATGATTATGCAAATTAGTATGGGCTATTTGTGGTTTGAAAGAATGATTCCACGATGCCCGCGCTACTACCATGCAGAGAACTGACTGTGTTAAGACGAGTATCAATGCACGTATTTAAAATAGAAACCTGCGGTGACTGAGTTATGGAAACATGGATGAACCACTTGTTGGGATGGCCAGAAATAACTCTTGATTTAGCGAAAGTCGGTTCAACTATCAACCACACACAAATGCCGGAAAGAAGAAAAGCAACGCTTGGGTAATTTCGAATACCGCCAATTCCTCCATTAAATATAACTGGTCAACGTTATAATGGGTTCCAAATGACGGATTATATACTAAGCATCTAGGACTATCGAAGACAGTCTCTCTTTTTACTTTTTTATGCATTAAATATTGACATATTTATAAAGATAAATTAGCACAGTAAACGTAAATCATTCCTATTCTGTTTTGCCATCCATGTATTGGTTGTCTTTGACAAGGCCATTGAAGAAATTACTGCGTTTTCGTGGTAAAACTGAAGAGTGTCTTCTCTTCAAAAGGTACTGCATGTGAAGAGTATGTACTGAAGTACTTTATGTTTATTCACTGGTTGTGTGTTATCCAGGGTACAAGTATAGGCGTGTATGCAACCTGTACCGTGGGTAAACTCCAACCTGCTCTGCTCTGTAGAATGTCCTTTACAAATACCAATGAATGTAGGTGTACAACAAGGTTGACCCTTATTGTGCGATATCTCTATGACCGGAAACAAGTACTAAAGATAGCCAAAGACCAGTAGACAGTCGGTGAAGAATTCGAAATACAGGTCACTTCATCTAATAAATATACAGGTAGGACAATAAGAAGCATTACCTGTCGGAAATTGGTCCTGCCTGCCCGCTGGGTATAATGTGTATCCGGCCTCCGTTAAGATGACACGTGGTATCAGATACAAATGTCTGGGGTTGACTAAAACACTCAGTTCCAAAAACATGGCCATTAAAACACTAATGGATCCATATATCCATAGTATTTTGTCAAATCGTGTTGGGTTCCGATATTCGTTTGGGCCAAACACTTAAAACACAGATTAGTTCTGTTTACCCCACACTGTTGTGTATTGTAGGACATGAGTGTGTACTGAACGTCTTTGATTCTAGAACTGTTAAGGAGGTTCAAGCAAAATTACATATCATGTTCGTCATACTTTCATCAATATTACTTCATGCCACCGGAATATCCGTCCGGAAACAGATATAGATACAAGAATCCTAAATATCATGGAAAATGGTCAAAATCGATATTTTTATACTGATTTCTCGTTATTTGCCTCGCGACATGGGCTGAAAAGGTCATATATTATTATTCATATGAATCTTTATATTTTGAAAACATCATCGACATATAATTCAATGAGTTTCTATGGTGACAATACTTTATATACAATCGGAGGCTCTATCCCATAATACATTGCTAACATGTGCAGTAACATACTTAGTGAAGCAATACGGCTTGAACTACCTTAAAATCGGTGGTAGACGCCGGAGAGTTATTTCGGGACAGTGCCAAGCACACGATTGAAAAGCCCGCGTCTTTCCGGCCGGCCTTGGAAGACCGCGAAACTACACTATTGTTGGGCTGTTCGTTTCGCAGCGTTCGTTTGGATGTGTTTAACATGACGGATAACTAGGTTGAATAATTGATTACTTGTTCTATCTGTTGAGTAGGATTGTGTAGATAACTACGGTGCTGGATGGCATCATGCTGGACATTCATTCAAAAATATTATTCAACAGGTCCTTTTAACAAACGATAGCCGCATTGGCTGGGAGGATGTCACGTGCTCAATATTAGAGCTACTCTACTAGTTCAAGAAATATGACACCTAAATATCTTAAATATTCATTTGTAAAAAATCTGTTTTATTGATCTTATCAAAATAGTTTATTTTTTATACATCATATATCATTATTCCGCTTTGGATTATAAAAAAAATAGAATTCTAAAGAAAGCATTGAAAGGGGATAGTTGAAGGGCATTCTGGGATATTTACAACTGTATAAAATTCACTTCAGCAAAGCTTAATAATTAAAATTTCGATATACACATATTAATTTGGCAGTTCAATTTGCTGGTACCATCTCACCCTTACGGGCGGTTAGCACATACTCCCTCCAAGGCGGGACGATTTTTATGTACAAAAAAAGTCTTGAACACGCTTCATTGATTGTGCGGGCTTTCACATACGGGCTTTTGTGCACCAGAAAGCCCTGCTACAGTCATGCGTGATTGTCCGAGAAGATTGAATCTTCTTGAAGAAATGCGCGTCCTCCCTGGTATGACGAATCCAGTGTTGACTAGCTTTCATTGTCCTTGTGTCTATGCATAGCGGCGTACAGTGTTTTGTCCTCATAAAAGAATGTATAGTTCGTGCCGCGCCACACTTTGCCTGTCAAGACCATTCATCTCTCTTGCAGACCACACCTCCTTAGATTTCCTTTGAAATACCTTGCTTCAAGAGGCCACGTCGACGCTTTGTGTCTTGCATTAATTACACTGCTGTTTTGCATATAACCTGTAAGTGAATGGAAAACAAGACTTTATTACCGTGTAGTAGTGACTGACATATTAAGGTGGGGGAGAAAGAAGCCGCTGATCTATCGATAAAAGAGCCCCGCACGCGCCTCTCTAGCTATAATATAAATCATGCTACTTGAAACTGTCCGAACGAGTGGAAGCCCAAACCTTAACAGCCACACACACACCTTTTTAACACACCGACACGCTTGTCTCACTTGGTTTTTGAAGATTGATAAACAATCAGAGTCCCGAGGGTTTGAAGGACACGCCGCGTGTCTGGTTTTCATTTACTGTACTGTATGGCTATTGTGCTCAACTGGCCAGTCACTGGGCGGCCAATCAGCGCACCGAGGGGAAAATGGGAAGAGAATGCAAATGAAGCCTCCGAGGGTTATGAACTGTTGTTCGATGGGCCGATCGGAATAGGTTATATAAGTCGTCTTTTGTGCACGGTGAAGGAGGAAAGGACGTCTTAAACCCTCTTTGGATTAATAACTTTGCGATGGCTGCACTCAAAGCTACCACGTGCTAAACTGAAAACGAGGCCAAACAAAACAAAAAAACAAACTTTTTTTTTTTCTGTGTCGACCTACTACGTTGAAAGTTTACAATGCAGATGCTAGTTCGGAATAGTCTTAGCATACCAATACATTGCGATAACTCACGATTATATGAACGAAACGGCGTTTTAAACTTGAAATGATGCAAAGCATACAACAAGTTACATGTCAATAGAATAGGAATTTTCTAAAGAGGTTTTCAATAGACGTCTTTGTTGGATTTTGTGAAAAAAAAAAACACCCCGTTCAAAAACAAAAGATACACAAAAATCTCCTCACTAATAACTTCGTTTTGTTTTGTGTCATTAAAAGGCGGTTTCTCTTTAGGGTATTCTGTTTGAAGAAGAGTGAACTTAATTGTTAGTGAAACTTTAAAAAGTTTTTTTTTTTAAAAAAGAAAGAAAAAAGAAGCCTCACCTGAGCCAGTTTCAGAACCATCGGGTGAAGTCTAGTAATTCTTCCTCCTCTGGACTCAGAGGATCGCACGTAGACACTTCTGACGTGTAGGATGGAGTTGGTGAACTTGACAGTGAACAAGGCGGAGATAATGATCCATTAAAGGCTGCATTAACTGCATCAGCTTCGTCCAGTAGTTGTTGAAGTTGTTTGATGTACTCTACTGCTGAGCGTAAGGTTTCCACCTTGCTCATCTTTTTGTTGTTTGCACCGTTTGGAAGTTGTTCACGCAAACTGGCGAATCCCATATTTACAAGTTTGACTCTGTTCCTTTCCCGTTCGTTTCTCCTGGCAACTGCTGCCGGTTGTTGTTGTGGCAGTGAGTAAGGGAAATTAAGTCTTCTCTTACACCTAATAAGTTCAGGCGGCGAGTCTGTCAGCGAACTGCTCCTTTTGAGCGACTTAGTCCTAGATGTCGGTTGTACATTAGTACAATTAGATGTCACATTGAAAACACATGGTGACGGTATAAGTTTGTCTGGCGTGGTGTTCTCCATGGTTGGCAGTGGCGGAGAAATGGCAGTTCACTCCTTTTTCGTTTATCCTTACTTGGCGTGTGCCGATAACGCGCCGAAGGTCTTGACCCAACACGAGCGTTCCTGCTTCTGAATGAAAGCGCTCTGACTACGGCGTTTTCTCGATCGCTCTGTTTATGGATGTAGACCCCTTCTCGGAAGCACCTCCCATTTTTTCATCTCTTTCATCAACGGACGCTTGTTATGTTATTGCGCGCGCTGTTCGCGTGGACAATACAAAAGGGTAAACAATCCAACGCATTCAGCCATTCAGAAAGCGAGGCACTAATCACAAATGTGACAGGCAAATGAGT